TAGCATCACAACAAGCTCAAGCCTGGCGGGTGGGGGGGGGGGGGGGGGTGGGGGGGGGTAGGGGGGGGTGGGGGGGTGGGGGGGGGGGGTGGGGGGGGGGGGTGGGGGGGGTGGGGGGGGGGGTAGGGGGGGGGGGGGGGGGTGGGGGGGGGGTGGGGGGGGGGGTGGGGGGGGGGGGGTGTGGGGGGTGGTGGGGGGTGGGGGGGGGGGGGGGGGGTGTGAGGGCGCCCCTACCCCCTGTGCTGATTACGGGTGGCGCGGTCCTCCACGAAAAAATTGTGCACCGACCCCCCTACCCCCCCCCCCCCGCGTTTTTGATGTGATAAGCCCGCGTTTTTGGTGTGGTAAGGAGGGAGGTTTTCACCTCCTCAAACCCATCCACGCCGCCAGGGTCGGCGGACCCTAAACCCTATAAACCCTAAACCCTAAACCCTAAACCCACGCTCCTCAGAACGAGTTAGGCAGTGGATTGGCCTCTTCCTGGCCTTCTCGACCATCCTCGGGTTCCTACTCTCCGAGTCTGCGAGCTCGCTGACGCCGAAGCAGCACAGGATGGGTGTAGGGTTCAGGGTTTACCCTAAACCCTAAACCCTAAACCCTATATAGGGTTCCATAGGGTCAAGGAGGGTATATCGTAGAAGAGGGCATGTAGGGCTTGCAGGGCTATCAGGTTCTTGGTAAGGAATCTTACCAAGATTTGGGGACCCTATTCAATATTTCCATCTCGTAAAAGGTTGCAAAAAAAACAAGAGGGATATTAAGGTACTGAGTTTCAACAACCCCCTATCAAGAACTAGTAAGTTAACAGGTTTAGGGGGGGTGGGAACTACTTGAGCCTTGAGAATGTCCAGGCTTACATTTTGATAGGGGCTTCGGGGTTTAGGTGGTATCTTGGGGTAGTTTCATGGTCCCTTGGTCTGGACTGTTAAACCGGGACCCTGTTACACCCCTTGTATACCCTGTAAAATCCAAGGGCCCTTACATCGGAACCCTTTGAAGGAGGTAAGGGACCATATCCCTAAACCCTAAACCCATGTCTAACTACCCTTGGATGGTATTTTGGGCGTCTGGGGTTTGGGGTTTATGAGTTTTGGAAATCAGGACCTTCGATGAGGCTGCTGGGGTTTAGGGTTTATGAGTTTCCAAACCGCAACGACACCCTGTCCAGGTTGAAAGGCGTCACCCCCTAAGACCCGAGAGCCCTAAACCTTCAAAAGCACGGCCCCTAAACCCTAAACCCTCAACCCTAAACCCTAAATCTAAACCCTAAACCCTAAACCCTATAGACCCTAAACCCTAAACCCTGGTTCGCTTTTTGAGGTGGGTTTGGCAAATCCCGGCAGGACGCTGGGCGTGCTCATCTTTGCCGCGGTCATGTGGATCTCGGAAGCCATACCCATACCCCTCACAGGCCTTAGGGTTTAGGGTTTAGGGTTTAGGGCATACCCATCCCCCTCAAAGGCCTGAAGGGATTCGGAGCACTAGCGCTGCAGTTAGTAGGGTTTAGGGTTTAGGGTTTTGGGTTTAGGGTTCTGGGTTCAGGGTTCAGGGTTCAGGGTTTCGGGTGTACACAGGGTTTAGGGCTTAGTTCAGAATTAGGGATTCCGGGGTTTGTTGCTTAGAGCTGGGTTTGTTGCTTAGAGCTGAAGACACAAGACTCTACACCCTGAACCCTGATACCTGATGTACCCTCCGGTTGTCTACAACTCGATGTGACACCCAGAAGGTCTCCACGCATCTTGGTGTTGTCAAGTACCGTCAAGTATGCCATAGTCTCGAACAACCCTAAGCCCTAAACCCTGAACCCTGAACCCTCAACCCTCAACCCTAAACCCTAAACCCTAAATCCTAAACCTATGTGTGGTCCAGGGTTGAGGATTTAGGTGTTGGGGTAGGTTCAGGGGCTTCACGCCGAGCGCAAGCTTTCTGCGGTTCTTAATGTTAAGGGATGGGCATTCATGCGGGTAGGCACCGAAGGAGCCTTAGGGAAGCTTGCGGAGCCTTAGGGAGTAGTGGGGAGTCTGAAGGAACCTCTTGGGCTGCATACCCCCCTGGAAAATCCTAAACCCTAAACCCTAAACCCTAAACCCCAAACCCTAAACCCTAAACCCTAAACCCTGAACCCTAAACCCTAAACCCTGAACCCTGAACCCTGAAACCTACACTAGAAAAAGCTCTCACACAGGCATGCTTGTGGGTCCAGTGCTCTTCCTCCTGGGCGTTTGCCGCCTGGGCCACTCCCTTTCCGCATCTCTGGTGCTGAGCAGGCAACCCTTTTTGTTTTTGGTCATAAAATACGTCTTTAGGGTTTGGGGGTTTAGGGTTTAGGGTTCAGAACCCAAATGCTAAAACCTTTCCCCCCTCGGACAACTCCGAGAGTGAGGCATACTTCAGCAACGTCACACTGGTCCTCTTTGGCAGCTCCTTCATCTCGATCGCGCCATGGCTTGCAGTTTGAACTTAGGACCGTGGTCGCGGGCATGACATTAAAACATGTTCCCCCTTCTACGAACAGTCCTTAATGGGGATCATAGTACCCCCCTTTTTCATACTCCCTATTAAGGACTTCTAGTATAAGGGGGAACATCCTTGCACCCTTAACCCTACCTGCGCCCCACAAAACCCTGAAGCCCTCAAGTCCTTGATCCCCCAGAAACTCCTTATCACCCTAAGCCCTAAATCCTAAACCCTAAACCCTAAACCCTAAATCCTAAACCCTTCAACCCCCCAGACCCTAAATCTTCAACCCCTAAGACCCTAAAACCTCAGACCTCCCCACCCCCACTTTTCCTCTTCCTAAACCCTAAACCCTAAACCCTAAACCCTAAACCCTAAACCCTAAACCCTAAACCCTAAACCCTAAACCCTTTTTCTTCCGGCCGCAAGGCCATGGAGCGACACGGCCTGGACGCGCGCTTCGCCCAGGCGCAGCCGCCTTTGAAACAGAGACATGGGGGGTTTAGGGTCTAGGGTTTAGGGTTTAGGGTTCAGGGTTTAGGGTTTAGGATTTAGGGTTCAGGGTTTAGGGTTTAGGGTTTAGGATTTAGGTTTAGGGTTTAGGGTTTAGGCGTTTAGGGTTTAGGGTTTAGGGTGTAGGGTTTAGGGTTTAGGATTGAGGGATCGGGTTTTTGGGGATCAGGTTTTTTAAGGAGTATGGCCCCAAGTGAGTCCAGCGTATCAAGACAGTGTCATGATTTCGGTTGGGGTTTGGAGTTTCGGGTTTAATTAGGGTTTAGGATTTAGTTGGGCATTCAGCGCCTGAGGGCTTTGGGGTCCAAACCCCTAAACCCGAAACCCTAAACCCTGAACCCCGAAGCTTGAACTCAGGTCAGGAATCGCACCGCCTAAACTTTGAACAACCCTAAACCCTAAGCCCTAAGCCCTGAGCCCTAAGCCCTAAACCCTGAGCGCCCGGCAGGCTCAACAAACAAGCTGAACCCTGGACCTGCTGGCTTTTAGGTTTGTAGGGTTTGTGGGGGCTCAGACTGTGGGGCTCTGGATTGGGTTTAGGGTTTAGGGTTTAGGGGTTAGAGGTTAGGGTTTAGGGTTTAGGGTTTAGGGTTTAGGGTTCAGCTTAATCCATGACCCATTTCCAGGGTTCGGTTCTGGTCCATATCCGATCATCCCGGCCATTTAAAAACAAGCAAAATTTTGAACCCTCAATCCGAATCTTCTCGTTCAACTTTTATTTCTAAAACTTCCAGCAGAACCTTCAGAAATTTAAGACATTTTCTTCCTGACAAGGGTCATATAGGGATTATTACCTTTAATGGAGGGCTTCTTTAGCAAAGCGGAGTTTGAGAATGGTCCCAAATCTTCATTCCTAAACCCTAAAACCCTAAAACCCTAAAACCCTAAAACCCTAAAACCCTAAAACCCTAAAACCCTAAAACCCCAAAACCCCAAAACCCCAAAACCCTAAAACCCTAAAACCCTAAAACCCCAAAACCCTAAAACCCCAAACCTTAAACCCCAAAACCCTAAACCCCAAACCCGAACCCGATCCCTAAGACCCCAACCCCTAAACCCAAAAACCCTTAAAACCCTTGAACAAAAGACCTCGAACCCTGGCCCCTGAACCCTAAACCTCAAACCCTAAAGCTCTTCAACAAATGAAACCTAGAACCTTAATCCTCAAACCCTGAAACTCTATAGACAAAAAACCTAACCAGAACGAAACCCGGAAGGGAACCCCAACCACCTAGGGTAAACCCTAAACCCTAAACCCTATAACCCTAAACCCTAAACCCTAAACCCTAAACCCCAGCAGGCTGTGACCAGCTCTTCGTGGGTTGACTCGAAGCCGACGCGGATGCGCATGGCCATGATGCTGGCAGGTTGCGCCACTGGGCTTGCTAGCCCAGTGGTACCCCTTTTTTCCCCTTTGGGGTTTAGGGTTTAGGGTTTAGGGGTTAAGGGTTTAAGGGTTAAGGGTTTAGGGGTTTAAGGGTTTAAGGGTTTAAGGGCTTAATGGCCTAAGGGTTTAGGGGTTTGAAGGTTTAAGGGTTTAAGGGTTTAAGGGTTCAAGGGCTTAAGGGCTTAAGGGTTTAAGGGTTTAAGGGTTTAAGGGTTTAGGGTTTACGGGTAATCACCCTTTTCCGTTTATGTTTTTGGTTCAAGGTTCCCTTGTAACGTAACAAACCTCAAGAGAAGGGTGCCCTTATTGAAATATGGTTGTTGGGCGACCAAGCTGGGCCCCGAACCCTAGTTCAGGTTCTAGTTTTTTTTTTTTTTTTTTTCTTGGGGCGGGGTCCTTTTAGCAACTCAACTTCGAGAAGTACCCATGTTGCATGTCGTTAAGGAGCTATTCAAGGTGAAGATGGTGGACTTGAAAAGGGCGTGGTATGGAGTGTCAGGAAACTTCATTCTTCTGCAAACAATAAGTTAGCTACCGATCTGAGATTGGCTTGCGGCCTTGCATTTGTAAGGTCAGCGTAGAGGTAGCGCCTTAGAAGGCTAAGACAAAACTCCTGACCTGAAACGAGTACAGCGTTCTCCACATGTGCAATCCTATTGTTTCGTGTTAGTCAGGCTTTCAATCTTGCTATGCCAGCAGTAGCTTAAAGCTAATAATGATGGCGAACGGTCTACAGTGATCAGCTGTCTTCAACAGATGTCTGCAGTATACACAGCATGTCGTGCTGAATGTTCCTGACTTCTCATGAGTGTTATGGATTTGCTCGAACATTCAAACTCGTATAGCCTGCCAACGTGAATAAACCAGCTGTGGCCCTTGCCCCTGGTCTTTCTGCTTTCCAGGAAACATCAGTAGTCTTAAAGGCTGGCCGAGTTCATGTCCGGAATAGTTGAACTGCCAGTCGTGTATACCTAAAAACTCTAAGCCCTCAACCCGAAACCCTAAACCTCCAGGACCAGGGCTTCCTTTATAGCCTTAAGGCGGTTTAGGGTTTAGGGCTTAGGGCTTAGGGTTTAGGGTTTAGGGTTTAGGGTTTAGGGCGCGGCCGCGCGACTGGTTCTCTGAGGTGATGTCGATGTGGGTCACGAACACAGGACCCCAGCTAGTCAGGGTTTAGGGTTTAGGGTTTAGGGTTTAGGGTTTAGGGTTTAGGGTTTAGGGTTTAGGGTTTAGGGTTTAGGATTTAGGGTTTAGGGTTTAGGGCCTGAACCGGCCCATCTCTTACTCTTGGAAGGACATGAAGGCGCCTGATATTGGGGGTTTGGGGTTTAGGGTTTAGGGTTTAGGGCATGATGCTGAAGAGGGTTTAAAGTTTACACTTCAGGTTGGAGAGGCTTGAACTGAAATCTCGAATTCGGAGCTTATGGTTTTCGAGCGCGCGCGCACCAGTGGGGGCTTCTAAGGGGTCCTGAAAGCGGTAAACCCTAAACCTCTAAACCTCTAACCCCTAAACCCTAACCTCTAACCCCTAAACCCTAAAACCCTAAACCCTAAACCCTCAACCCTCAACCCTAAACCCTAAACCCTAAACCCTAACCCCCCCCGCCAGACCTTTGAGAGGATCGGCATACATCCTCACGCCGATCGTGTTAAAGTCCTTCGGCGCGGAGCGTCAACAGCGCCTCCAAATGCAAGCAGCCGGATCACCATAGCCGGTAGGGTTTAGGGTTTAGGGTTTAGGGTTTAGGGTTTAGGGTTTAGGGTTTAGGGTTTAGGGTTTAGGGTTTAGGGTTTAGGGCTAAACCCTAAACCCTAAAACCTCAACCCTAAACCCTAAACCCCGAACCCTAAACCTTAGTATTGGGGGGGGGGGGGTGGGGACGGGGGCATCCCAGGTTTAGGGCTTAGGGCTCAGGGTTGAGACGGGACACAGTACATCCTAGGGGAGGGGAAGGCGGGAGGCTTCATAAACCCTAACCCTAAACCCAAAGCCCTAAACCCTAAACGCGAAACCCATGCCGGTCCCAGGAGGGCATTGAGCTTCCGGGGTCAAAGGATGCAAGGGGTTTAGGGTTTAGGGTTTAGGGTTTTGGGCGTGGGTTTAGTGTTAGAGCGGGTTAGGGAGGGTTAGCATAGGGGTCGGAATAATTGCTAATCGTATCTCCCTAAGGTTCTTTCATATTTATTGTATCACAACCTCCAAACCCTATTCTAGCTTATTGCCCCTATATTGGAGAGGTTTAGGCAGGATTCAGGAGGGTTAGGGAGGGCTACAAAGGGTATGCCGATCTCGGTTCATGTGCACCTGCTGAGTGGCAAGAGCGTTACTCTTGAGACGGCAGAGGATGATTCTGTCGACACATTGAACCTTAGGGATACTTGGGAATATTTCTTACTTGTTGGTTACTTTAATTCCTAAGAAACAGCCAAAATCATAATTGTTGCTAGGGTTCCGAGTAGAGGAACCAGCGGGCTCAGAATGCTTTGGTGGTTGGCAAAGGACGCCTCCTGGACTCTTCTGGCACTGCCATACCGGCAGGGGCAACGGCTAAACAGGCAAGACTGCAAAATGGTGATCTACTACTATTTGCTTAAGCCCCCCCCCCCCCCAGAAAAAGAACACTTCCTTGTAAAAGTAATGCCGGCTGTTTTGTCTTCTATGTATTATTGTTTTTATTATATCTTTGGGGGGGGGGGGGGTTCTTAAGCAAATAGTAGTTAAACAACCCTAACCCCTAAACCCTAAACCTTAAACCCTAAACCCGTTAAGCAGGCCAGACTGCACGATGGTGACGTGCTGACCCTTCAGATAAGACCTCCCCAGATCGCCGTCTCCCGGAGAGTTGAGTTGCTTGGGAGCCCCGTGGTAGCCTTTTGACAGGGTTTAGGGTTTAGGGTTTAGGGTTTGGGGTTTAGGGTTTGGGGTTTAGGGTTTAGGGTTTAGGGTTTAGGGGTGCCCTTTTGGCCATGTTGTTGGTTCTAGTCTCCGTTCTATATGAGTCACCAACCCCAAAAAGGGTACCCTTGTTACAATCGGGTAAACCCTAAACCCTAAACCCTAAACCCTAAACCCTAAACCCTAAACCCTAAACCCTAAGCCCTAAGCCCTAAACCCTAAACCCTAAACCCTACCAAGGTTGTATGCACCTTCTGAGCAGTTGTTTGCGAAGGACGATTACCCTGCCTTTGCTGCCATCCTGGGCGATGGGTCTGTAGTCGCCTGGGGCGATCCTGATACTTGGCTTTCTTAACCCCTAAACCCTAAACCCTAAACCCTAAACCCTAAATCCTAAACCCTAAACCTAAACCCTAAACCCTAAAACCTAAAACCCTAAACCTGGCTCTTAGGACTCTAACCTTCTGGGTTTTTGTGGAAACTGCCATAAGGAGCCTAGAAGTTAAACCTTGAGGAGGGGTTCAGAACTCGGCCAAGGAAAATGGTGGTGACAGCCATGCCGTGCAACACCGACTGAAGGACGTTCACCAGGTGCAAAGTTCTGCATCGGCTTTTGCTGCGCTTCTAGACGATGGATCCGTCACCACCTGGGGGAGAGCTGATTGTGGTGGGGACAGCAGTGCGGTGCAAGACCAGCTGAAGGACGTGCATCTTATCCAGGCTACCTTCAACGCTTTTGCTGCACTTCTGCGTGGCGGGGCTGTGGTTACCTGGGGCCTAGCTGGTTGTGGCGATAGCAGTGCTGTGCAAGACCAGCTGAAGAACGTGCTGCACATCCAATCTTCTGTCAAGGCTTTTGCTGCACTTCTTGGCGATGGGTCTGTGGTCACCTGGGGCGATGCTGGCCATGGTGGTGACAGCAGTGCTGTGCAAAGTCAGCTGAAGAACGTTCAACGCATCCAGGCTGCTCGCGATGCCTTTGCTGCAATCCTAGACGATGGGTCTGTGGTGACCTGGGGCCATGCCCTGCGTGGTGGTGACAGCAGTGCCGTGCAAGACCAGCTAAAGAACGTGCACAACATCCAGGCTTCTGCCTTTGCTTTTGCTGCAGTTCTTGGCGATGGATCTGTAGTGACTTGGGGTGAGGCTGCCTCCGGTGGAGACAGCAGTGTCGTGCAAGACTTGCTGAAGAAAGTGCGTCACATCCAGGCTTCCACGTGCGCTTTTGCTGCACTTCTTGGCGATGGGTCGGTAGTGACCTGGGGCGATGATGATTTTGGTGGCGACAGCAGTGCTGTGCAAGACCAGCTGAAGAACGTGCGTCACATTCAGGCTTCGATCGGCGCTTTTGCTGCACTTCTTTGCGATGGGTCAGTAGTGACATGGGGCGATGCTGGCTGTGGTGGAGACAGCAGTGCTGTACGACATCAGCTGGAGAACGTTCATTGCATCCAGGCTTCTTCTGCAGCCTTCGCTGCACTTCTGGCCGATGGGTCCGTGGTGACCTGGGGTGATCCTGACTATGGGGGCGACAGCAGTGCTGTGCAAGATCAGCTGAAGCACGTGCCTAGGTAGGCCCTTGGGACATTTGTTCGTTCCTACTGGGTCTCAGAGGATCATGATTATTGAGGAATGTTATTCAGAATGTTTTGAAAGGGCAATCCTAGGTGCAGCATATCCAAGCCTCTGATACAGCCTTTGCCGCACTCCTGGACCATGGCTCAGTGGTGACCTGGGGCCAATATTTGGGCTACGGCAGCTCTGAAAGTGAAGAGAGCATTCAACGTTGCAAAGCGCCAGCTATTTAGTGTACGCGCCTAAACCCTTGCTCATGGTGGCGGGAGCTGTGACAGTCGCTTTTCCTGCCAAGCCGCCATGTGACAAGTCGGCAGCTGATGCAACGGACTCAACTGCCAGCTCACTCCCGAATTCCCTAAACCCTTAACCCTAAACCCTAAACCCTAAACCCTAAACCCTAAACCCTAAACCCTAAACCCTAAACCCTAAACCCTAAACCCTAAACCCTAAACCCTAAACCCTAAACCCTAAACCCTGCCTGACCCGAAGCCGGGATCCCAGCTCGTTTAGAACAAAAAGGGTGCCGTTTTGATTCCCAGGTGACTCGATCTCGGTTGGGTCCTTGGCTTGGTAGCCCAGTGGTGGTTTAGGGTTTAGGGTTTAGGGTTTAGGGTTTAGGGTTTAGGGTTTAGGGTTTAGGGTTTAGGGTTTAGGGTTTAGGGTTTAGGGTTTAGGGTACTTTTATTTTATTTTTTTTTTTTTGGGGGGGGGTACTGGGTCCCCTTATAAAGTAACCAACCAAAAAAGAAAAGGTGCCCTTGTTATAGTATTGGGCTACCAAGGTGTAGGTTCGAGAGTCAAGGTTCAAACGCCCAAGGGGTCACATGAAGATAGACACTTGGGGTTTAGGGTTTAGGGTTTAGGGCCCTAAACCTACACCCCAAACCCTAAACCCTACAACCCAAACCCTAAACCCCAAACTCTAAACCCTAAACCCCAAACCCTAAACCCCAAACTCTAAACCGTAAACCCCATTCCCCTGGAATTTGTTGTTTTTTTAGGAGGGGATTCCTGAGGATGCCCAGAAGTGCACGCATTTACCGCTTTCTTTCAAGATTTAAATAAGGTTTAGGGTTTAGGGTTTGGGGTTTAGGGATTAGGGCTTAAGGAGGGTAATGTTAGGGTACACGAAGTAGAAAAGGGCTCGCCCTTGAAAGGTTGCCGGGCACGCTTACAAGCCCAAACCCCTACGCCCCCAAACCCTGAGCCCTAAGCCCCTACGCCCTAAGCCCTAAGCCCTAGACCCTACGCCCCCCCCCCCCGCCCCCCCAAGGACCTAAAAGCGCTGGAGTCCGCAAGCTGCAACCCCGAATCCCAGGGTGTAGGGTTCAGGTGTGCAGCAATCGGCTCGTAGGTCTTGTGGGATACAAAGCCTACGTACACCCCTCCCCTGTATAGGGTTTAGGGTTCAGGGCTACCTCCCCACCCCTAGGTTCCCCCCATAATTCAGGCTATTTTTGGGGGGGAACCTGGGTGGGGAGGGGTAGTAGGGGAACCCATGAAATGAGAACACGGGATTTCAGGGTTGCACCCCCTTTTCGGGATTCCTTTTCAACAAGATTTCATGTACTTTGGGGTGCATAAGGGGGGCTTCCCGAACCCTAAACCCTAAACCCTAAACCCTAAACCCTAAACCCTAAACCCTCAGGAAGCTGGACGATCCGGAGGAGCAGCGCTCACTGATGGGATCCCTTCTCTCGGTGGCCTACGCCTGCAACACCGGAGGTATGGGCGCCGTGGCCGCCCTAAACCCTAGCCCTAAACCCTGAACCCTGAACCCTAAACCCTAAACCCTGAACCCTGAACCCTGAACCCTAAACCCTAAACCCTAAACCCTAAACCTGAACAAGGCCCAATCCCTTTCCTCAGCTGCTTTGTGCCCTGAAAGGAAGTGCACCTAAATAATGAGCCGTGCTCGCACGCCAGACTCGAAAGAGAATGATATAGTAGAGAAAGCAACCACACTTTCGGCCAACCCGCCAATCTTCAAACATTTTTCAGTGCGTATTACCTAGGAATTACGTTATGCTTTAGGGTTTAGGGTTTAGGGTTTAGGGTTACCTAGACATTACAGGGGTTAGGGGTTAGGGTTGAGGGTATATGCTCTAGGGTTCTGCGTTTAGGGGAGGGTCATCGGCATGGTTCTTGGTGAGTGTATTTGGGGTTCCAGGCTGATGAGTGTATGTGTTCGGTGCTTTTTCCCGATAGGCGCACTTGGCCAGACTGTAGAACTGCAGGTTCGGATTTAGCGCAGGGGGCACGCTCCGCACACTGAGCGTTCCTATGCCGGCAGGATCGATGTATGGCTGCACGTAGGGTTTAGGGTTTAGGGTTTAGGGTTTAGGGTTTAAAGAGATGGAGAGAAGTATGTGCAAGGTTGAGGGCATGCGGCTCTGCGATTTAGGGCTTAAGGCTTAGGGCCTCGGGGTTAGGCTTTGGGGTTTAGGGTTTAGGTTTTAGGGTTTAGGGTTTAGGGTTTAGGGAATGCAGCGCTGCTGAGGAACGCTGGTTGGAACTGGATCCAACTTGGTGGCCGTCACTGGGGCTGATTTGGAGTAGATGCTCAAGTTCTGTGAGCCCGCATCCTTGTATAACCTGAAGTAGCTCAATGTCTTGTGGGCCCCCTAAACCCTAAACCCTAAACCCTGAACCCCCAAATCCACGCCAGGTCAGGTATCTCAGAGAGCTGGGTGTACACATCGACTTCGTGCAGTGGCTGGTGGTGGGCGTGACTCGGTGGTCGAAGCCCTTACCGCGTCAAGCCTAAAGCCTAAACCCTAAACCCTAAACCGTTGCTACCGCCTAAGCCCTGAACCCTAAACCCTAAACTCACAGCCCTAAACCCTAAACCCTAAACCTTTGTTACGTAAGCCCTAAACCCTAAACGGTTCAGGGTTTAGGGTTCAGGGCTCGGTTCAGGGTTTAGGGTTCAGGGCTGAACACATCCTGCTGGGTGGTTTTACCTACGGGGTTATGGCCTAGAATGCATGCCGCAGCCCTACGAAGCCTTCTTTGGTACGGCACCTTATTATAAAAGGACTCCCTCCCCCCCCGCAGCAACGGGGAAGCTTTTCTTTTTCGAACTACCCATATAGATAAGGAGAGTTCGGTTCTCTTTGGGGGTCCCTTTTTTTGGCACAGCACTTCAGAAAAAAATCGGGAGATGCAAGATACCTGATTACCGAATTCCCTACCCCTAAGGGTCCATGTACCTATTGTTATATACTTGGGCCCTGAAGTCCCCGCTATAGGAGGTACTTTAAGGCCTTAGTATATAATAATTAGGTGCATGGACCCTAAACCCTAGCCCTAAACCCTAAACCCTAAACCCTAAACCCTAGTATAGTAATAATTAGGTGCATGGACCCTTATTGGAGGGGTTCAAGAGAACCCTCAACTGGGTCCACCGTTCGATGTATGCTCAAGGCCACGGAGGTAGGGTTTTGGGGCTTAGGGTTTAGGGTTTTAGGGTTTAGGGTTTAGGGTTTAGGGTTTAGGGTTTAGGGTTTTAGGGTTTAGGGTTTAGGGTTTAGGGTTTAGGGCTTAGGGTGTGACTTCCTGCAAAGCTCCCTTTCGCACGTCTGGGGTATGTCCTTGCCTTTGTATGCACCCTAAACCCTAAACCCTAAACCCTAAACCCTAAACTCTAAACCCTAAACCCCAAACCTCCCGTGGACATGATTCGTATGGACCCCAAGAGAGCTGTGATTAAACAAAAATCCTGAACCCTAAACCCTAAACCCTAAACCCTAGACCCTAAACCCCAAAATCCTGAACCCTACAAGGAAGCAGGGTTTACATTACTGTTAAGTTATTGGTGAGTGTATATAAGGTTCCATTTTAATATTGGTGAGTGTATATGTTTGGTGTCCTTTTGGGGCTACAAGAATTTATACACGCTACTTCATCTTAAGCCCTAGAAGCCATTGCAGATTGGAGAGGTACCATTTGCTCAAGAACCCTTAGAAAATGACTATATAGTATTCCCTAAACTGCCCGTGTGAGAAAGAACCTTCTGGATTGTTAAGACCCCCCCAAAGCCCCCTAATCATCCTGCCCCCTCTACCCCGGGCCACGACCCACCAACCCTGAACCCGTATACTGTAAACTCCTAAGAGTAGGAACATCCTTATCCAAATGCTTTCAAAAGGTCTACTAAAGGGAACCCCTGCTCCAATCATCCTTAAACCATGTTCCAACTTTCTGGAGTTTACTGTACCCCTTAGTGGAACATCACGGTTGAGTTTCCTTGATAGTTTGTCATCCTTTTTGCAAACTGTCAAAAGGAGCTCCATTTGTAGAAGGCATTATCATCTGATTAGAGGTACCTGCTTCGCTGTCCGTGGTTTGCGTCTGCTACGTGGTGCTGTACATGCGCTTCAAGCCCGTGAACACCATGACCAAGGAGGCTTTCAGCACTAATCCCCGGACGTTTAGGGATTTGGGTCTCGGGTTTAGGGTTTAGGGTTGAGGGTTTAGGGGCAGGTGCCTTAGTAGAGTTCAGCTGTGGTTGGGCCTTTTGGCCTAAATCCTAGGTTTTGTAGCGGTTTTTGTACTGGATATATGGTACAGTCCTTACGTTACTTGCATTCCCGAGGTCAACCTCTTGCAAAGCCACCTGGCAAAGGGCTTTAGACTGGAGAGGGTTGTAGGGAGTTAGGGTTAGGGGGGTTGGGGTCAATGGGTTCGCCAGCGAATTTGACCCCACAAGGCAAACTTAGAAGCCCTGAGCGAGAACACGGTCAAACGCTGAGGAGGGTTCAGGGTTGGGAAAGGGCGTATGCACAGAGAGCGCAGGGGCCCTAGACGTCGAAACCCACACCCTGAACCCCAATTCCTGACCCCTAAACCCGCAATCCTGAATCCTAAACCCTAAATCTTGAACGCACTACAAACAAAGCCCTGAGATCTTGTACCGCTAAACACTGTCCCCCTAACCTCCCCGCCCCCCCAACCCCACCTGACTGGCTCGTAGTAGGGAAAACTTATGTCCCCCTAGACCTTCTAAGGGGTCTATAGGGTACCTACCTTCCTAAGAACCGGCCAGAAACCCTAAATCAGACGCCTAAGGTTGTACCCCTAAAGGGTCCCCCTGATGTACTCCGAACATGACCCTTATAGACGGGTCGGCAAACCCAAGAATACGACCTTAAGGGTCCGAGTCCATGGTAAAACCCGGAGACTAAACCTCTGAACAGGTGGACACCAGAGCCCCGAAACGTTGGAGCTTCGGAGAGAGATCTGGGCTGCAAGGGGCTGTTTTCGGGCTTCGGAACTTGGGGTTTAGGGTTTAGGGTTTAGGGAGTTCGGGGTTAGGGTTTAGGGTTTAGGGTGTTTTAGGGTGTTTTAGGGCTTAGAGGGTGTAGGGTTTTCGGGGTGGTGAGTTTATGGTTTTGTTTACGGGTGTTGTGGCTTTCGCGGTTTCGAAAAATGGCTAGCTGCCTTGGGGTTCGCATTAAAAGGATGTATCATGTTGATGTGAAAAAGGGCAGTTTTAGTGTACTTGCTCATGAAAAGAAGGAGGTTGCGTAGACACTCTGGCATTGTGGGTTCAAGGCTTGAGAACCGGATTAGGCTTTGGGGTTCAGAGGTTAAGGGCTCTGCGTTTCAAGAGCTTCTGGGTTCAAGGTTTGGTGGTTTGGGGTTTAGGGCTAGGGCTTAGGGTTTAGGGCTTAGGGTGTAGGGTTTAGAGTTCAGAAGACTACAAGGGTTGAGGGACCGAGTGTTTTTCTGTGACAGTTGCCGCCCGTGCCTCCCTAGACCCGCAGCCCTGGAGGGACTTCTGCTGGTAAACCCGAAACCCTAAACCCGAAACTTGAAACCCTCAACTAAACCCAAACCCTAAACCTCAAACCCTGAACCTCAAACCCTGAACCCTAAACCCTACACCCTAAACCCTAAACCCTAAACCCTAAACCCTAAACCCTAAACCCTAAACCCTAAACCCTAAACCCTAAACCCTAAGCTGATGCAGGAAAGTGGTGGCTGCCTCCTTTGTCTTCACTGCATCCCTGTGGCTTAGGGACATTTGGCAAATATCTTTTCATTTTTGGGTACTTTAAACCCTAAACCCTAAACCCTAAGCCCTAAACCCTAAACCCTAATTAGTTCAGTATAGGTGGGTGTTCCCAGCGTTTTATACCCTGGCGCATGGCAGCCACCACGACTTCGTCCAGCACAAGCTGTTGGCAGGCCGCACTGAGGAGAGGGATTGGTTAGGGTTTAGGGTTTAGGGTTTAGGGTTTAGGGTTTAGGGGTTTAGGGGTTTAGCGGTTTAGGGGTTTAGGGGTTTAGGGATCTAGGGGTTTAGAGGTTTAGGGGTCTAGGGGTTTAGGAGTTTAGGTGTTTAGGGGTTCAGGGGTTCAGGGGTTCAGGGGTTTAGGGGTTTAGGGGTTTAGGGCTTTAGGGTGCGCTTGCGAATTATGTTTTTAATTCGGAGGCTTTATGCATCGGAGCGTTGTGTTTTGCTGATGGGCCAATGATGGGTCTAAGGCGAGGTTTCGTCATGCGTTCGAGAACCTCTAGCCCAATTCAAAAAAGAATCAACCCGAGGTTTAGAATCTCAAGTCTCCGAAGACCCTAAGAGCACCCGGAGGTTATTTGAGGGTTTTGTTTGCTAGGTAAGCCCTAAACCCTAAACCCTAAACCCTAAACCCTAAACCCTAAACCCTAAACCCTAAACCCTAAACCCTAAACCCTAAACCTAAACCCTGAACCACACTGGCGGAGGCGTCTCGGTGCTCATCGGCACATTTCCCATGTTCATCATCTCGGATCGAGGCCAGAGCCCTTCAGGGTTTAGGGTTCAGGGTGGAGGGTTTAGGGTTTAGGGTTTAGGGTTTAGGGTTTAGGGTTTAGGGCTAGGGTTTAGGGTTTAGGCACCAGAAACCCGACAACCAAAACCCGCTATGAGGGGTTGGGTTTAGGGTTTAGGGTCCCTTCCGTAAGTCCCAAAGCCCACACCCTAGCCCTTGGCTTCACCTGGGCTTCTTGGGATATTGTAGCAGCGTCGCAACCCAGCGATCCCTGAACTGGAGTTTAGGGTTTAGGCTTTAGGCTTTAATTAGGCTTTAGGCTTTAGGCTTTGAGTGCAATTGGAATGCTCCGCCACACTCATGGTGAACAGTTGGCGAGGACCCCTCAAGGAGCCTTCTCCAAATATTCTCGAGATTCGGTTCCCTTAAAAACCCCAAATCCTAAACCCTAAACCCTAAACCCTAAACCCTAAACCCTAAACCCCGAACCCTAACCCAGAAGCCCGAAGCCTTGATTAGCTCATGAATCCGACAAGGAGGTTTCCCAGTCTTGGGGGGGGGGGGGGGGGGGCGCAAAGGCCAGGTCCATAATTTGAGGTTTAAGGCAGGAACCCCCCCCCCCCCCCCCCGCCGCCTTCCACCATAAACCCCAAATGCTAAACCCTAAACCTGTCATGGTTTAGCTTAAATCTGAGCGCCATATGCTCCAGGGTGCCGCTTGTTCTGGGGTCTCCCGAAAGATGGTAAACCCTAAGCCCTAAACCCTAAACCCTTACCCTAAACCCTAAACCCTAAACCCTAAACCCTAAACCCTAAACCCTAAACCCTAAACCCTAAACCCTAGACCCTAGTGAACCTGAACCCTAGACCCTAGACCCTGAACCCTGCACCCTGAACCCTGAACCCTGCATGCTTCAGGGCTCGGGACTTTGTGTTCCGTTCCCCCTGAGGTGACTCCCCTCGGTCTGTTCCCGTGGGTCCGCCTGTAGGAGGCCGTGGAAGGGGGAGCGAGTCGCGGCTTTAGGGTTTAGAGTTTGGGGGGGGGAGGGGGGGGAGGGTTTAGGGTTTGAGGGTTAGGGTTGTAGGATTCAGGGTTTAGGGTTAGGGTTTAGGGTTTAGGGATTGAGGGTTTAGGTCTTTGGGCTTCGGGTCTGGGGTTCAAGAAGGGGTTGGAATTTAGTATCTTGGATTTTGAGTGTTCAGGGTTGGGGGAGGCTTTCACGGGTTTCCCTTAGAAATACCTAGTATTTGGAGTGCTCATGCTGGGAGGAACGTTATTGGGAGGGTTTGAGGTTGCCGGTAGATTGTATTTAAATACGGCATGAGCTCAGCCGAAGCAATTTGGCCGGGTTGAACACAAACCCTTAAACTGGGGTTAGAACAAGTTCTGGAGTATCATGTTCCTTTCCATGGGTCCTAATCCTTCACAACCCTCGTAACCTACAGCCATAGAAATCGTATTGTTTGCCCCCCCGCCCTAAACCCTAAACCCTAAACCCTAAACCCTAAACCCTAAACCCTAAACCCTAAACCCTAAACCCGAGGCGGCCATAGGGTGCTTCCGTGGTCTGTGGCAAAGAATGCGGACTGGGGCATCGTCATGCTGACGCTTTTCTTACTTAGGGCGTTTCGGGTTTGGGGGTGTAAGCCTAAGGGTCCTTGTACCTAACTATTATATACTTGGGGCCTTCAAGTACCTCCATAAAAAGGGGCTTTAGGGCCCAAGTACATATGGGGTACATGGACCCTAAACCCTAAACAATAAACCCTAAACAATAAACCCTAAACCCCAAACGCTAAACCCAAAACCCAAAACCCTAAACCCTAAATCCTAAACCCAAGCTCAATGCATGCGGTTTCGGGAGTGCGTCGAGTGCTTTGGGTTTGAGGGTGAGGGTTCGCAGGCATTGAGGG